TATCTCTTAGAATCGATGTTCCCTTTTCTTGCTCAAATGTGAAAACATTTTCAAATTTCTTGGGAATACTTAGTTCCCATATACTTCTTTGAAGAAAATGAACTTTACTCTTACTCTTTACTCAACTTCAAAGCTTCTTTAAACAAAGTTTAAACATTTGTAAAAGACTTCTTAAAATATGGTTCACGCCGAATTATGTACTTGAACGACTCAATGCAAGGTTTTCAATAACCATAGATAAAACTCAATACTTGGAACTCAAGAACTTCAATAATACTACTCACTTTAAGAATGCTCAACTCAGAGGGTTCATGCGGAATTATGAGCATGAACTACTCAACTCAAGGACTCAAGATACTTCTCATCTCAAGATTGTTCGACTTATAATGTTCATGCGGAATTATGGGCATGAACAACTCAACTCATGGACTTCATGGGTAATAGGTAATTGTCTTGTGATTACGATTATAATCTCAAAGAGGATTAGAAATTCAATACTCAAGACTTAGAACTTGAAGATACTACACCTCTCAAAGGTACTCAACTAATGGAGTTCATGCGGAAGTTATGGGCATGAACGACTCGAATCGAGGGTCGACATAACATTATGGAACTCATGTATACAACTTTTCTCTTTCTTTTACTTACTTTCTCAAAAGGGCTTAGGAACTTAACACTTAAAGGCTTAAAACTTGAAGATACCACTTCTCTGAAAGATGCTCAACTTACGAAGTTCACGCGGAATTATGGGCATGAAACAACTCGACGCAATGGTCTACATAACAACATGGACTCATGTATATGACTCTTCTCATTCTCTTACTTACTTTCTCAGAACTTAGTTCAAATCTATAGTTAATCTCAAAGGATTCACAATTGAACTCAAAGGCTTACTTGAACTTTACTCTTAACTCTCTCTTGAATGTGAATTATGAATTCAAGAGTTTTGGTTCATGATATGAAGGATCTCATGATGACAAAGTAGATTCATGAATACATTCTCCTCATCCTCATACTCACTTGCTCGAGTCTTGAAACAAGTTACTAAAAATTGTAGAAGACTCTTCAAAGACTCTAAGGGACCTTATCAAAAGGTTTGAAAGAACTCTCAAACTTGACTCTCAACTCTACCTTGAATTTGATTTATGAATTCAATGTTATGATCATGTTAGGAATGATTTTAGGTGTTTAAAAGTAGCTTAGAGTAGTTAGAATTGAAAATGAGTGAAGGTGCACTTTAAATGAACTCAAATGGGGCAACCGACTACAAACTAGATGGGGCAGGCGACCCTGGCGCTATGGGTGGTGCGGGGCGCCAGCCCCTAAACTTCAGAGGTGGGTTTGGGGCGCTCTGGCAGGCGCATCGCTCCAAGCCCCAACCCAGAAAATTCAGCAAGTTTATTTTCTCGTTTTCTCACCCTATTTCGCCTAGAATCGAATGGTTTCTTCCCCAATCACTTAGAATTGATTACTTAACATAAGTACACTCTAATCTACTCAATAAATCCCTTAAAACACTCACTTTGATCTCAAGAAATCATCCAAAACCCAACACAACAAGATTTAGAATGAACTTCAAAAACTCATCAAGAACTTAAATCTTTCAACTTCAAGAATGAAATTTGCGCTGAAAATAACATGTTTGGCGTGTGGGTGAACAAACCCAACACTATGGAAGCTTACATACCTCTTAGGTGTCAAACTCATGGTGAAAATTCGCTACAACACGCAAGAATCTCGACGAATGCTTGATCATCTCCTCTTTTTCTCCTCTTCTTTCTTCTTTTCTCTTCTTGAACTCTCAACTAAAACCCTAGGCTAATTTTAGGATTATAAAACTGAACCTAATAGGACTAGACCCTTAAAAATATATTAAAAGCGAATTAAATATGATTGGGTAAGGAAAAGACTAAAATACCCCTCTTATTTTCGGCTAACTTTCCTTAACTGGACAGTCTATCCTCAAAAGGTCATATCTCACTCATCCGACCTCGAAACTTAGCAAACTTGGCAGCGTCGAAAAGATAATTCAAAGATCTTTCCTACGGTATCTGGTAGAACACCTAACTCATCCTGAGCTAGGAGTTATGATCATTTGAAGTCGACCCAAAACTCATACTTAGCTTAACTTGCAAAATTTCAGATTTTGCTATATCCAATATAATTCTTTTTGGAACTCAAGGTGCTACATCTAGTGACCTTAACACTTAAGAAATTTTAATTCCTCGGTAAAATCTCACTCATTACGATGAACGGTTCGAGTCTTAGTTCGAAAAAATTTATATGGTGTTACATAACTCTTAACTGATCTTGACTTGACTCTTAACTAATCCTTGAATTGAATTATGGATTCAAGGATTAAGATTTGTGATTGGAAAGATCTCATGATGTTTAGGAATGACTTTGAATAGCTAAACCTAAGAAAAGTTACGAAATCACCATCTTGGAACAAGTCCGCGACACGGAGACGTTTCTGAATAAATGCTCGTGAAATTAATTTTTGAGACAGAGGAGTCTGCATCCTAACCGCAACATGGAGACAATTTTTCTTCACTAGGGAGCAAGTCCGTGACGCGGACCTGCGTGCCAGAACCTGCTCGACATTTCCTTTTTCGTTTTCCAGCCCCAAATCGCCTAAACTCGATTATAGAACTCAATTTTTTTTTAGATCCCGATACCCGGCATATGTATTCAAGAACCTAACTCAATACAACCCTAAAACTCAACGTAAAGATCTCAGAAACTCCTCAATTCATCCCAATTCAAGAACAACATTCAAATTCAAGAATACATGTCAAGAACATCAACTTTCAAACTCTTTTAGGACGAATTTCGCAGAACTAAACTTGTTTGGCGCGTGGGTGAATGAACCCAACGCTATGACAGACTCACATACCTTGTAAGATGAATTCCTTGGCGAATCCACAACCAAAATCGATCGTTCTTGGCGAATTCTTGTTGTTCCTCTTCTCCTTTCTTCTTTCCTCTGTTCTCCAAGCCCTAGCGTATTTTCCAATTGACTAAACTGATCTCCTTCTGATTTGACCCTTAATTAATTCACTAAAATGAATTAAATTAATAGGTTAAGGAAAAGACCAAACTACCTTTTCAAAATTCGGATTGGACATTTCCTTATTCCAACAATCCAACTTCCAAAGGTGATAACTCAGTCATACGATCTCGGAATCGCACAAACTCATCGGCGTTGGAAAGATAATTCGAAGACCTTTCCTAAGGTGTCTGGTAGTACACCTAAATCATCATGATCTAGGAGTTATGATCATTTGAAGTCAACCCAAAACTCATACTTAGCTTAACTTGCAAAATTTCAGATTTTGCTATTTCCAATTCGATTCTTTTTGGAACTCAAGGTGCTACGTCTAGTGACCTTAACACTCAAGAAATTTTAAATTCCTTGCAAAAATCTCACTCACTACAAATAAGGGTTCGAGTCTTAGTTCAAAAAATTTCTGGGGTGTTACAGATAAAATCATTAGAATGTCTATTTCTCTCTTTTGATAATTCTTTAATTTCAATTTTGGAATATTTTACATATTTTTAATTTTGGATCATAACATTAAAAAAAATCTTTACTTTTTTCTAAATTTCGTGTCAGTTCAAACTAGACAAATAGATCGAAATAGAGATGGTATAGAGATATACTCCCTCTGTCCCCTTTTAATTGTCACGTTGCGTGTTTTGAAATTCAATTTGATTAAATTTTCAAAGTTAAATTAGATTACATTAATTCAATAGTTTAAACAAAAAAATTAGATATCAAAGACTATACGAAAAGTACTATAAATTCCATTTTGTTTGCATATCAATATGATGAAAAAATACATCGTAAAATATTAGTTAAAGTTATTATTGTTTGACTCTAAAAAAGAAAACTATGATAATTAAAAGTGGACGGAGATAGTATAATAAACCTGTTAATTATTCAAGTATGCTTATAAAACTATCATTTATGACAAAACTCTTTTTGGATGAGAGATGTAAAAGACAGTAAAATTCATTTATTGAGAGTGAAATCATCAACGAAAAGCTGTTGGTATTTCTAACGAAACGTAATTTTAATTAACGGGTGATGGGGAATATATAGATTATTGTCCAGCTGGATTTTTATTAATGGAAGAATTCTCTTATGTAATAAAATATAGTACTATAACCGTCACAAAATGTTTAGTAATTAAGTTATTCTGCTAAACTTTAATTTGTAAAAAATTCTAAATATGGCACAAGTATGTAGTTGTAAGAAAAAAATTAATTACATGTTAAAATTTACTTTTCTTCTGCCTATGGTCTAAATGACTAAATTAATGATTAAAAAATTTGACTTTTTATTTTTTAGTATAAGCATATACTTTACTATTTTTTCAAGTCTAATATTTTTATGAATTGCAAAATATTTAGTTTCTTTTTAGTTTAATATGTATGAGGAAAATAATATATTCTCCTTATTTTATTCTCTTTAATTGCTTATGAATAGTGAACTACACAAAGAGTTATCATTCATTTTTTCTTTAATTTAATTGCATTCTAGTTTCTTCAATTTCATAATACTAGACTGGATTAAAACTTTTGAAATCAAACAAAAACAACAAAGGGGAAAAAGAGTATTATATTTGATTTCAAGTGGTTGTCATTGTTCGGATTTTTCAAATATGTCTCACGAAATAGTGACACTGAAATATTAATATTTTTGAAGAGTCTGAACAACCTTATAGTTGGTGTTTGTTCCATAGTGAATGATAATTGTCACTGTTACTCTTCTTCATTGGGAAGAAAACAGCGAAAATATGTCCATTACTTGGTCCAAGGACTATAGACACTAGGAGGCCAACCCGTGAAGAGTGCAAAAAGGCAAAAAAGTAACAAAATCAACTTCATATTTATGATCACCTTTTACTTCCTTTTTTAACAACCAAACAAAATAGTTTTCATATTAAAGAATCTCATTATATATATGGTACATACACAACACGAAAAAAGCATAGGGAAAAAGGTCCCCACTTTGGTACTTATAATTCATTCTCTCTTCTCCATTTTTCTTCATTCACACAATTGAATTATTAGACATGACCATACATTATTAACGTTGAAAAAAAGAAAAAAAATCATGACTAAGCCTTCTTATACTCCTTTGTCATGTCTAGTCATCACCTTATTGCAATTGATCATTCCTAGCCAAGAAGCACAAATAACACCACCTCCATTGCCAATTCTCCCATTACCAAATTATGCTCAATTAAAATGGCAACAAAGGGAACTCATCATGTTCCTACATTTCGGTGTCAACACGTTCACGGATAGTGAATGGGGCAGTGGGGATGAAAATCCTTCGATTTTCAACCCCACAAACCTAGATGCCAACCAATGGGTTGACACCGCGGTTCAAGCAGGAGTATCACTAGTGATACTCACTGCTAAACACCACGATGGTTTTTGCTTGTGGCCTTCTAAATATACTGATCATTCGGTTATAAGAAGTCGTTGGAAAAATGGGCAAGGCGATGTGGTTCGAGAATTTGTCAATGCGGCCAAGGCTCGTGGCGTCGATGTTGGTTTGTACCTTTCGCCATGGGATCGCCATGATAAGAGTTATGGGCTAAATAAGGAGTACAATGAACATTATTTGGCTCAACTACAAGAACTTCTCAACAAGTAAGGTTTATAACCAACATGTTTATAGAGTGTACATAACTTAAAACCCTTTTTCAAGTTGCTAATCTAACTTCTTCGTATGATTACTTATATGTAGTTATCTTTTAGATGAATTAATAGCACAATTTCTTTTATATGTTATCATCGTATATAAGTTAATAAGTTCATGTAACTAATAATTTTCATTTTTAAAATTAAAGATATGGAGATGTTAAAGAGATATGGTTTGATGGAGCAAAGGGTTCAAATGCACCAAACATGACTTACTACTTCGATGATTGGTTTGCAATGGTGAATGAATTGCAGAGTGCAATCAACATATTTTCCGACGCCGGACCGGGGGTCAGATGGGTCGGAAATGAGCATGGATTCGCCGGAAACACAAGTTGGTCCACCATCAATCGAACATTGTTGTCTATTGGCGGTAGCAACGCTGAGTACGTAAACTTTATTTTTTCCAAACCTATCTAAAATACAATTATTTTCCTTAATATTATTGTTTGTGCTAGCTGTATTTATAAATCATGTAGCTAAGTGTGTCCACAAGACTTGTAAAAGGAAAAGACGTCACTAGAAAACAGGACTAGGTTGGCTATATATACATGTCAATCACCCTTTTATGAAAAACAAGAAGATACATGTCAAAATGTCAATTATATAAGATAATGACTTTCACTAGGTGCAAAATTTTAAGAAAAAAATGAAAGATATAGAACTTATGATCTTCAATACAATCTCAATTTGTGTGATAACAAAATTATCATGTCTTCTTTTCTTTCAAAATTATCATGTTATTAAGCGTACATTAATAAAAAAATGTATTATTATTTTTGAACCCTTAGTGTTGTCCTAAGTAGTGGCCGGGGAACTATGTGTTGGCAAAATATATTTGATACACAATTTTTTTTACCTATTATACCCTCAATTAATTACTTTGGAACTTCTTGATAATCTTAAGTTTTTTTAATTCATCCCCTTCATAATTAACAAGGGTAAAATGGTAAACTCACTATGTCAATAATTGTTTTTTAATAGATGTGTCAATTTAAAAATGGACAAGTAATTAAGGACAAAGGGAGTATCTCAAAATGAATGGAATTCCTTTTCTTCCTATAAATTCCAACAATTAATGTTGGTTAAAAACTGAGTATTGCCAAAACGTTTCAAGCAATTTAATTTGGTATACTATATTGTCTTTATGGACAATTGTTTTTTATTGCATTTATTAGCCATAAATCAGTAGCCCTTATTGTCTCATAATCTCCCTTAGTCATTAATCATTAGCACTTAATTGTCTTCATGTCCGTTGAAGGCTAGGAATTCTTTCAACCCTTTTTTATATTGTGATCTTATATATTGATTTTCTAATCCTAAATGTTGATGTAGGAGAGAAAGAAAGATATCAATCCAAATTCCCTTGTTGCTAGGTTTTATATCAAAAAGAATTTTTGTTAGTTTCTGTGTTCCTAGTTTTATATCAGAAAAACTTGCTGAATTTTGAGGATACATCTATATCGAGTGAAATTAAATATAATTAAGAAAACTGTCTTTTGACACACCTCAAGCTATTAGAATTTCCTACAAGTGTTCGTGATGAAACATTTTTCATTAAGATATCCAAAACTAAGTATTGTCAAGATTAGAGTAAAAATTATCCTCGTTGGTTACAACTTACATGTGAGCTGTTGAATCCCTTAATAGAAAGAAATAAATCAAGTATAGTAATTAATAAAAGAAGTTCAAACTTGCTTTAGGTCATATTTTCAAATTACAATCGAGACATTTTATAATTTTTCTCTTATATAAATTTCTGACTTTGGCAATGCAGTTATCTCAACAGTGGAGACCCAAAAGGGACAGATTGGTTACCACCAGAATGTGATGTATCAATTCGACCAGGATGGTTTTGGCATAAATCACAAGAACCAAAGAGCCTAAGTGAGTTGCTCGAAATTTACTACAATTCCATCGGACGAAATTGCGTATTGCTACTTAACGTGCCTCCTAACACACAAGGATTAATAACCAACAGCGATGTGCAAAGACTCAAAGAATTTAGAAATGCAATTGACACAATATTCTCCACCAATTTAGCCAAGGAATGTTCAATCAAAGCAAGTAGTCAAAGGGGAGGTAAGAATGGAGGTTTCGGACCCGAAAACGTGCTAGACGATGACCATTTATGGACATATTGGGGTCCAAAAGATGATAAAGAGGATAATTGGATTGAGTTCAAAACAAAGAGTAATAAGTCGTTGAGGTTTAATGTGGTAAGGATTCAAGAAGCAATTGGGCTAGGACAAAGGGTAAAAAGTCATGAAATTTATGTTGATGGGAAGAGAATTGCTAATGGAACTACAATAGGATACAAGAAGCTTCACAGGATTAAAAAAGGGGTGGTGAGTAATGCTAAAAGTGTGAAGATAAAGATAATTGGATCAAGGGGAACTCCTATGATTTCATCAATTGGTCTCCATTTTGATCCCTTTTGGTAGCCACATGATGATATGATTGTCCACTTAGTTAAGCACATTCTGAAAATTGGCCTAGTTCTTATCTTCTATAAAGTAGAAAAACAGGATGTGATAATAAAGTGTCGAAGTTGCTAATTCTAGTACCCTTTGAAATGTTTTGGAAATGATTTCAATAGAAAAACAAGTTCTTTAAAATAAGAAAAATAACTTTCGTAATGAAATAAGCAAATTAAGTTTTATAAGAATTTTTATTGTTTCAACTTTAATTTTCTTTATATTATACAAGAGAATCTTTATGTGTCCAAGATGTAGTAGTGGTGGGTGACCACCATGCATGGGCTGTTCCATTATCACTGTAGTCTGTAGACTTTAGTGATCAATCATGTATGGGCTGTTCCATTATCACTGTAGTGCCAGAGTCGTCTGCCCAAAATTTGAGGGGCCTCATCTATCTATATATAAAGGAGAAGAAAAAATGACACATGTCAACACTATAAATTTTCAGAATTTTAAATAATTTTAAATAATTAAATAAATAAATATAGACACGTGTCAATAATTAGAATGACGCATGTCTAAACCAGAAAAAACAGCATTTTTAATTCTTAAAATTAAAAGAAAAGAAAAAGAACGGAAAACTGTACATAATGGAAACATTTTCCATTCATCCAAATAGTAATCCATATTTAGATTAATAATTAGTTATTAGTTATCATTTAATATTCACAATTTTTTATTTTTTAAAAAATCAATATTAATAATTGTTTTTATTGATTTCAAATGAAAATTTAAGATAGGTGGGTTATGCAACAAGAGAAACATGGGGAGTTGTTATAAACTAAATTATATTTTAAATAATTAGTTAAAAAATAATATAATATATATATATATATATATATATATTTTAAAAATCTAATAGTAAGCCAAAAAAAAGAAACTACATTATTAGGTTTTAAAAAATAATACAAAATAATTGTCAAATAAAATTGCCAAAACATGTGGATTCAGTTTTTTCCAAAACATGTGTATTCCGTTTTCAGATTTTTTAAAATCATAAACTTATTAATAAAAAAACTAACTTTAACTTCAGTTACTGCAACACGTAGCCCATTTTCCTCTCCCCACGTCAATTAATTTGCAGACTTTTAACTGTTTAAATTTATCAATAAAACAACAAAAATTAATCAAACTTTTAAATTCAAAAATTGATTTTTTTTTAAAATAAGGTGGTTGCAACTTACTTTGTCAATCTCAACATTAAATATATATATTCTCACCGTCTGACATTTGTGGAGAACTGACGAGAGAACAAGAGAGAAAATAGCATAAAATGAAGTGCAATCCAAGAGTATTCTTATCCGGCATTAAGAGAATAAACTTATTTCATGGTAATATTAAACGAGCGGCATATATTGATTAAATCGCTTGAGTTAGGTTTAAATACTATGAATTTCAGGTTATTTGTGAGACTTATGAAGGTTGTGATAGAAAATTAATCCGAGCATACCGTAAAAAATGAGTGATTATACTAATAGTCACTTGAATTTTGTACTTTCACTCCTTCTGTTTGGTATTGCTATTATAGCAAAAGATATTTGGATTTTTTCTGAAGTTTTGTTTTTGCTTAAAATAATGGCTACTCTTTTTCTTTGTTCTTTGAATAAGTGATAAATAATTTATGATGATTTCACAATGAATTGACTCTATTTGATGAAACTTAATATCTGATTGATTTGTTTTTCATGTTTTTGCAGGGATAAATTCCTTGGATAATTTATATTGGAATGGCACAGATTACATCCCATCTTAAAATCATACAAATAAATTAAGAAAAAAAATCAATCTTTTGAAAGATATTCTAAAGGTGCTAAATTTTATTTGTCCATCTTGCAATTTTCCCCAATCAGATATTTAAGCTATATACATTTTTTATGTTTTATTTAATTTTAGTATTATAATAATAATAATAATAATAATAATAATAATAATAATAATAATAATAATAATCCATCTTGCAATTTTCCCCAATCAGATAATTATTATTATTATTTACATTTATCCAACGTCACATATGTAAAGGAGGAATACGAAGCTTTATAGATGCAATAAATATGAATTTCTCCTAAATACGGAATGAATATTTGAAATATAAATAAAATTATCAAATAACTTAAGTAAGGAATGACCATGAATATACAGGTGTTTTTATTTGATATTATTTACTATTTGTGTAAATAAATGTGTTGTGTCATATATGTTATTTTATTTTTGTTTTTTTTAAATTTTTTAATATTTTGGTATATTAACTTATATATGGCTAATTGGCTATTATCTTGTTCTTTTGTTGGCAGAAAAATGTATTCATTATTTTGAAATATGCATGCATATCAAATTAATAAATAAATAACAAAAATATGATAAGATACCATTGAAATAAATGTGATATGACAATACTTAAATTTCATTCTGCATTTACTTTTAAATTTATAACAATGTCAAGTAATTTTATTTTTCTCCACTTGAAATAAATTGTTTTTAATATATATAAAATAGTGATTTTTAATTAAAAAAGTATTCCTGAATGATAGTTCAAGTAATGTTTCTATTTTAAAAACTAAAATTTGCATATTCTCCCTACAAATATTCATTATTTTGAAATATGCATGTAGATCAAATTAATAAATAAATAACGAAAAGATGATTAGATACCATTAAAATATATGTGATATGACAATACTTAAATTTTTTTCTACATCTACTTTCAAATTTATAACAATGTCAAGTAATTTTATTTTTCTCCACTTAAAAGAAATATTTTTTAATATATATAAAATAGTAAATTTTTAATTAAAAAAATCTTCCTGACTGATAGTTCAAGTAATGTTTCTATTTTAAAAACTAAAATTTGCATATTCTCCCTACAAACATAATGTTAATTTATTCAAAAAGGTACTTTGTTAGTATTAGAGAAAAGAATAGTTTTCGTGTAATAATATTTTTCTAAAAAAGTATTTTACTATACACAAAAGCTAAACCAAATTGTTAGTATTAGAGAAAGGGATATATTGTTTTTAAAAATATTTTTCTAACAAAATATTTTAATATACACAAAAGCTAAACCAAATAAGTCATAATTTATAGGCAGTATAATTAAAAAATCGTATCATAATATGTAATATAAAAAATAGACAAAAATGAAATAAAAGTAGAAGAAATATCAATTAATAATATTTATTTTAATTAATCTTAAAAATATTGCTAGAAGATGTACAAAATAATAATTAAAAAAAAATATTGTTTACACTTCATATGAACTCAATTCACAAATTTTAGTCTGATATTTTAAGTTATAAATGACACAATAAAAATGAAAAGCTAATTACAGTATCACAAAGGAAAATAAAATACATGCAAAAGATGACAAAAATTTTATACAAAAAAATTATTAAAATATTTATCGAATTTTCAGTTTGGATATATGTTTAAAAAATTATCTTCAAAATAATATAATTTTAATTTGATAAATAACTATATCAAAACTGTCACATAAAACTGCCAAAACCAAAAATTGATAGTTATATATTATTAATATTTGCATATTTTCAAAAAAATAATAATTTATTAATTACAAAAATACTAAGAAATTACAAACATGCGTAGTCCTTATTAACTTTCCTTTTCTTCTTTTTTTAACTATCCTTATTAATCTCCACAACATTCTTTATAGTGATATCATAATTTGCAGCTATTCTTATTAATCTTAACATCAAAATAATGTAATGAATTTTTTATATATGGTTAATAATTTTGAAATTAAAATATTTTGATCTCAATTTGTGGTGTAGTTATTATAATAATTCTATAATGTAACAATAATGTGCGAAAATCATTTTTCCGGTTGATAATATTCAAAAGTTATGCACATAACATTAAACAAAAATATTATTATAATTAGTAATGATGATTTCAAAAAATTATAAAATTGTTACTCTCTTCTAAGTGGCAATTTAATATCAAGTCACTTGATAGTTTTATAACAAAGTATAAATGGATAAAAAACTTATAAACAATAAAATGAACTATTTGATTAGATAATGAATTAAAAAATGTCATGATTAAAAAAATAAATCAAAACAATTACGAAAAAAGAAGAAAAAGAAAACTATAATAAAGGAATAGTTAAAAATATGTAGGTAAAATATTTTTAAAAAAATAAGTTAAATCAGTATTTTGTAAATAAGAAAAACATGTCTTCAACAAAAATGTTTTCAAATTATCATTTCTTAAAAAGAATAAATTGAAAATATTATAAATCTGTATTTTACAAAATATGTCACATGTCATCATTAAATAATTATCAAATTTTTAGTATTTTTTTAAAAATTATCTCCAAGAAAATATTAATTTTAATTTGATAAATAATTATGTAAAAATCTGTCACATAAAACCACCAAAAACAAAAAACTAATAGTTAGATATTATTAATAATTTTCAGACTTTTTAAAAATAATAATTTATTAATTAAAAAAAACTAAGAAATTACAAATCAACTAAATGCACGTAGTCTACTCTCCCATTTCTCTCCCACTTCATCTAAACTTTATTTATTAATTAATTTGTACATTTTTAAATCTTTTAAACTTATCAATAAAAATAATAATTTTAACTTTTTTTTTTGTTATATAAAGATAAGATTAGTGCTAAAAAGGTTGCAATATGCTTTGTATATTATATTTAGATTTTAGCTAAAAGTAGAGACAAAAATTTTAATACTAGATTTTAGATTGATCTATGAATTTGTAAATTTAATTACTTAGGACAATTTTCAATTGAACACACACCAGATATGCTATATATTCGTCTTCATTATACTAGAAGAAAGAGAAATTGGTAGAATAACGTTTATTGTCTTTGACGAACATACACTTATAGCACATAAATTAGTGTAAAATTTTGTTATCATTAATTGTATATATACAATTAAAACGCTATTTTTTTAATTATACATTCACTTTTGTTACTCAATAATAATTTGTTTAGTTATTTCTAAATTTTAAAAATATTACTATATTTTAAACATCCGCTCAACGCGTGGGTACTTATTCTAGTTTTTAAAAAAAGTAATAGGTTATATGTAAAAAAAATTAAAAAATATCGAGTATTATTTGTAGTAAATAAAAACTTTTTATAAAAGAGTGAAGAAGTAATAGAAGTTTGACAAATTATTAATACTATGTCTCAAGAAAGATTAAATAATTGACTATAATAAACTTCATAAAAAATATATATTCAAATTTAATGCCTCCATTCGAATTTGGCTTTAGGCCACCAATTTATTAGAGCCGCCCCGGCTACTAACTATATATTTCATATGTAAATAAAATTTAATATTTATATCATTACTTTTTAAATCATTTATATCTCATATAATGATTATTCTCGCTTACATAAAATTTATTATTACTTCAAATCAATTTCTACTCTACTATTTATATTCACCAAATTCATTATTTTTCATCAAATATATTTACCAACCAAATTGACCAAAAAATGGTTCAAACTAACAATGTTGATTCGTTTTCTCAATCATATGAATGAGAAATGCAAGTTCAATGTGAGAAGATTGTTCGTACTATGTTGAAGGATTATAGTCAAGAGTAATACACCAAAACTTATGTTTTTTTTAATAGAATTAAAACTTGATCAATAAATATTGTATATTTTAAGAATATCTTTGTGACAGTGTATTATGCGATTTTATAAAGTTGTGCTTAATTATTTAGTAAGATTATATAAAGAATTGATATGATTTAATAGTTTTACAACTTATGGGGTTTTTATGTTTATGAGAAAACATACAACATAAAAAGTCCAAACCGCATGTCCAAACAAAACTTCAACTTCATCTCATGATTTCATGTTATGATTTATGCCATGATTTCATATCGCATACGCAAACAAGTCCTTATGTGTGTGCCGCCCAATAGTCAGGTGTTTAAAAAAATGAAAAAGTCTTATATGGTGATTAATGAGATGTATGATTTGCTTATAAGGCTTGAACAATCTTACTACTTAATGTGGTGTTGAAGAATGAAAAGGTTCTACACCAATAATTAATAGATAAGTGGTTTCCTTGTAAAGTTTGAGTAGTCCTACTTAACGCAGAGTGTTGAAAAATGATAAAGTTTAATATAATATCAATGACTAATGAGATGAATGATTTCTTTGTATAGCTTAAAAAATTCTCATCATTTGAGTTACTTATTGAGTTATGAGCTAGGCCCAAATTGCAGTAAATATATTAAAGCTGAGAAATGAGAAATAAGAAGTGAAAAAATAATATATATATATATATTCTCCAATCGAGACATGGTATCTAGGACCATGAATGATCCTGGGATAACCCTTGACTTAACATATCACACATATCATATGACGAAAACTAAAACACATGCTTAATAAAGAATTTGATAAACCCCATGAGACTACATTACTAATGTCTGAATAAAGCCTTTACTACTTTAGAATGAAAATATAAGTCTGTCGGGACATGGCCCCCAGCTACCCCAAACAAAGACTACATAAGAAAAAGAGTTGATAGTCTAAAACAACAGTCCCCAAATGAGGAGGGCTCGTCAAAAGCTAACTGGGAGTGCTGCAACCTCACTAGCCACAAATTTGAGTGCAAATACCGAAATTTACATCTTAAAAGGATGCAACACAGAAAAATGTATGTGTCAGTATATGGAATGTACTGAGTAAGTAAGAGAGGACAATAGCATAATCATTTAAATAATCACGAACAAGACAGTGAAATAAGATTTCCAAGATCATATTTATAGTAAAAGCAGTGGCGTAGCTAGAAATTTCACGAAGGGTGTCCAAGAATTATATAAGTAAAAAAAAGTTGATGAATGGGTGCACTGAAAATTTCAAAATCGAACTACGTAATATTAATATTTTTTATGAATAAATGTTCTAAAATTTTAAAAACCAAATCGCATGATATGTAGCTTTAATATTTATAAATAAACAAAGTAAAAAAAATAAGGAGGTTGGGGGGGGTCAACATAAAATGAAATCATTTTTAAGTTTCAAACTTACACTAATCTCTAGTGACGACAACAATATCGAGATATGAAAAATGGAAGCAGAAACAAACGAGGTCTTCTTTTGTTTGCTTTTAACAACGTTGTACTAATATTAGAATTTTATTTCAAACTTTAATGAAAAGAAATAAAAAGTCAAATTCATTGAATATTCAATTAGCTTTATTAAATTTTTAAGTTATAGATTTATAAGAAATTTACTAACTATTACCTTAGACAATTAAAGGAATAATAAAATATGAGCTCTTTAAAAAATGACCATAAAGATGAGTCACTGCAGGGATTTGAACCTGCGCATCTAGGCTCAGCAAGAGAGCCTCCAACCGCTGAGCCACATAGCTTATTGTTTCAAGGGTGTCCAAAGTATTACAATTAACCACTTTTAACAAGATTTTACTTAGGTGTACAGTATAGTTTTCCGACGAATTGGACACCCTCAAGACATTGTAGCTCCGCCCCTGAGTAAAAGGGTTGAAGAGAAAACAGTTAGAGTCTATGACCAAGTATCATAAAAATCTCTTTTCAAAGGTACATATATATAGTTGAGTCATTTTTAGTACTCTTGAATAATCATATACATAAAATAACATACTTAAAATGAACCATATAGACCTATAAACATATCATAAAATTTACATAATTGGGGAGTTTCTTATAACCGACATACACCATGTGAGCTCATTATGTCCAACAGCTAACCCTATTGGAGGGCTGGCCTATACCTTGCCAGAGTAAAAGACAATATCATATCTATGTGGATTCACTAATCTGAGCCTCTCAGGGTCATAAGGTCAACCGATAAAGCGGTGAAACATAATCCCTGCAATAGCGCGTAGTTATTGAACTTGAGTTTTCTAAACTCGCATCCTCTCGGTACTAAATAGTCCTCCCAAAATAACATATATTCATAAAATGCTCATAGGTATGAAAACCACTTATCATCTTGAATCATATATGAGGCTATGCTCAAAAGTCATATCTTAAAATAATATTTATTTAGGTTGTAATTCATATCATACTTGTTTCCATGCTTAAAATCCATAAGGGTTTGAATAACCATAAAAAAATCATGCTAAATCGGTACCATAAGGTTTAAAAATCAAAGTGAAACAATAAAAATAAGAGTCTATGAAGAAAGACCATAATTTCATAAAAAGCCCTAGCTTTGCTTCTAACAATCTTGTGAAATTCTTGAGAATCAAAATACATTAGGCGTGAGAGCGAAAAAATACTCTCATTGAAGCCTTACATACCTTAACGTTGAAATTTGAGGAAGAACTGGAATTCTCTAATAAAAGTTCTTGTAGGTCATGTTCTTCAAAGTGCTGGGAAGGAAAAAAAGGAGAAAAGTTTATCGTAACTTATCAAATCTGAACGAATAAGGGTTTTGGAAGAGGTTAATGGATGTGGATTGGGTTTTTGGGATGAGAAAAGGACGAAAACATCCCTCATAAAATGTGAAAACAAGAGAAAACTAAAAGAATTTCCGGGAGCTTGCGCGACCGCGCAACTAAAGCTAGCCTTGATCGCACGACACTTTGCGCACACCTAGTAGTAGCACTGCCTTAGTTCATGTTTGATTTAGTACCTTCTTAAGAAGTACTTTTTTGTTTAAATTTATTCATTATATGATTTTGATTGGATATGAAGTATTAAAAAAATTTAGAATTTTGTGATTTTAAACTAAAGATATATAGAATGTACCAAAATGTCATGTAATCTTGCATACTAAATTAGAAAGATGCATTCAGTTAAAAATGAAAATAAGACAAATACATTTAAACAAAGTGAATAATTAATAAAATGATAAGTTTACTACAACAACAACATGAAATCTCACAAGAATAAGGTGTGTAGAAAGTAAAGTGTACAAATCAAACCCCAGACATAAAGAAATTATTTTCAGAAGATATCTATTTTCGATAGGATAAGCAAATAAAATTGGATAGATCTAGCCAATCAAATATATATGTCAAATTGTATTAAGGACAAATTACTTAATTACACTCCTTTACTTACCTTAATATCCATTTATCCCTATTTATTTCAAAAAATTCAAAAATCCCTTATTTACCTATGTATTCCGCATGTATCCCGTGCACAACGCTATGTATCCCGCTATGTGGAATGTATCAAATGCTATGTATCCCGTGCACAACACTATGTATCCCGTGCACAACGTTATGTATCCTGCTATGTGGAATGTATCAAACGCTATGTATCCCCTGCACAACACTATGTATCCCGTGCACAACGCTATGTATCCTGTGCAGGACGCTATGTATCCCGCTATGTGGAATGTATCAAACCTAATGTATCCCGTGCACAACGTTATGTATCCCGCTATGTGGAATGTATCAAACCTAATGTATCCCGTGCACAACGTTATGTATCCCGCAAACATCATTTTTAAGGAATTTTTGATAAATAGAAAACTAGAAGGAATAGGATGTTATTTAGTACTTATAATATGTGGTTCCTATAATTTATACTTGTATAATTGTGCAGAATTTTAATTATGCGCTACATAGATATGCCCTAAATATGCAGACAAGATAATATGGAGTATTAAGCAGGCATATTGTTCCGGGCCGGCGGGTTATGGTGCCGTAATCTGTAGGAAGCATGAAGATGGAGGCCACCGTCAATGTGAAGAGTGAGCATGGTTCTGTATGTAACTCTTCTTTCTTCATCACTCAGCTTAAATCTAAAGGTGCCCAGCAACACTGCTGAAAAAATCTTCATCTGTCTGTAAGCAAATTCCTTCCCCAAACAAATTCTCGGCCCACCCTGCAAATTATTTCCATCAAATTATTATAGCAATAGCACCATATATATGATTGTTGAATAATTATGATGAAGAAAACACAAACATGAAGAGAGGAGCTTCATGTATGCCAAACACATTGATCTTATTTGTAAATAGAATAATTTGCTGATGAACAGAGAGTATAAGTATCTGGTTTGAGTACAGGCCAAAATCATGAACAATACACAAAAACTTTGGCGTTAGACCCCAGACCTCAATTCGATTATCAGAGTTTGTATTAATGAGTACGCATTGGTTCTCCATAAACTGCAAAATTTTGTTTGATCTACTGTCAAATTCAACGAGTTGTCCTTCTTTCTTAGACATTCGCCCTTTAGTTTGTTTTGGGTTCTATGATTTGTAGCTAGGAATGAATTTTTTTTTAGGGAGAGAATGGGAGGTTAGGATGATCGAGGTTGAAGAGGTGTTGAATGAAGAAGGTTCTCATGTGAATGTCCCGTGCACATGAGCTGTGACGTTAACAGATGTTAGGAAGGGGATTAAAAGCTTTATACCAGTTTCTCGCATAATCATACCATTCATCAATCATAATATTTGAAGCCTGTAAAACTTAACAATTGTAATTTGTTTTTTTGTCAAGGTTGGATGGGAAAAACTAGTTCTGTCTGGTGAAGCTAAGCTCTTAGAAGTTTTAACTGTAGTAGTTATAAGATTGTAAGGTTCTGTGGTACCTGGAAGGCTGTGAACTTAAAGGGACTTTCTTGCCGAAAGCAACAATTTTCATCAATCCATCTCTCTGGCCGAAAATCCTCTGCATCATCACCCCATAAAGATGTCATCCTGCCCATAGCCCATGGTTGATATGCGACAGCGTCCCCTTTCCTCACTTTGAACCCATCAGGGAAAGTGTCATCTGATAAACAAACTTTGCCATTCTGCATAGAGAAAAAACTCAATATCAAGACATATATACATGAAGCACTGGCCTAATAGGCATACAAAACTTGTATAAGCATGAAACATTGACCTAATGACATCTATATATTTGTGAATATTTTATCATTCTCACTATATATGTATGTATTACCACAGGAATTGCAGGATATAATCTAAGCGTCTCAGTTAATGATGCATGGAGATACTGCATTTTATCCAGTGCGTCATCAGTAATGCTGTTAGCTAGCTCATCAATACTCGAATTCTGGTTTATTCCAGTTGCTTTCCTGACTTCATCTGCAATTTTTTCTTGTAGGAGAGGGTGCTTGCACATCATGTAGAAGAACCAGGAAAGTGTGCTAGCTGTAGTGTCTTTGCCAGCAATTATAAAGCTAAGGATTATGTCCTTAAGGTACTTTGGATCCGTTTTGTTCATTTCCAGAAACCTAGACAGAATATCTGATTTCTTCATCTGCCAAACACGTAAAAATTCAAATATCATTTGGTGCTCTTGCTCAAGGGCAATAAGTTAGAAGGTTATCTGCTTGAACTTACCACCCTGCTATCATCTCGCGACTTACTCATCTGTTCTATCTTGTTTCTGATAATTTTATATATAAATTCATCAACAACTTTAATACACTTCTTCATATTTGCTTCTGACCCAATGTTTAGAAATCTTTTCACTTTCCAAAACACATCAACGTAGCGATAGAGAGTTACTGCACTAGCTTCATCAAAAGCATTGGAAAAGAGAATGCCTTCTTCAGTTGTAGTGTCTAGATCCACACCTAGTAAAATCTTGAATACCGTCTCCAGTGTTGATTTCGTAAACAAGACCTGCCAAGAAATGGAAGAGTTTTTAGCTTATTATTAACTTGTTAATTTTACTGCAGAAGAGCAAACCAGAGTTCCATACTTGAATATCTGTTGCTTGATTTGAGGTCACAGCTTCAGATACTTTGTGAGCAAGTTTTACTGCACTAATTCTGAAAACTGCACTACTAAAGTCCCTTAAATTTTTGGTGGAGAATTCATAACTTGATATCTTCCGTTGATTTTTCCACTTGTCTCCATCGACTGTGAAGATCCCATCACCGAGAAGATCATTCAATCTGCTGTAATGGTGCCAACCCTGTAACATGATAGAGTGAGAAACTAGTAAATTCTCATCTTGGGCAATCCTCCTCCATTTGAGCTAGCTTTTGGGTGTAAGTTAGGTCTAAGACCTAATTTAACAGCTAGGATAGAGAATGGTGTACATCAATTGTTACAAGCATATGTTAACCATGATTTCATGGTCAGCGAGCTCAAAGGGCCATTTTTTTGTATCAGATTGTGATTGAGAAACTATGTTAAGCATTAACCTTAAGCCAAAAATATGTTACCTTGCCATAGTTGGGGAAATTTGTCTTTAGAATATACTCGATATTAACAGGGTCGGAGGTGTAAACCTCACTTTGGAAAAGATTAAGTATCCTATAGGTATTGTATTTGCTTGCCATTTCTTTCATGTAATCATGCAGCCTGTTGAAATTCAGCAAATGATCGATGATTGTTCCAGCAACAGGATGGTACTTTCCCTTGTTGAAGACAAGTACTTTGAACACAAATGCTGCTACTGCTAAAATGACACAAAATGTTGTAATTGTGAGACTAGTAGGAATAGATAGAACATCCATCTCTTTCCTCTCCTCTTTTCAGTGTGAATGACAATGTTAAGCTGCTTGAGAATGACTTTACCATATATAAAATAATGTAAATATAAATATTTGAGATTCAGACCCCCTTATTAAAGATTGATGTAACATACTAACTAACCCGTTAAAAAAATATTATAGAACAGGACTAACATACACTTTTTTTTGGATGGTTGTTACCTGCTGTATTGTGCTTAATTAGTTTAAATATAATATTATTTTTCTTGTTATTTAAATTCTATTGTATCATATAGTTTAAATTTATCGTTTATTTTATGTAACAATCAATTTGGCGTAGTGATCACATTGTTACCTTAATATTTTCTTCTCATTTTATCTTTAGTTAGTATTATTTAAAATCATATTTAATTTCATCTTTTATTCTACCTTTTCATAGTAACTCTACCTTGTATCTTATTTTTTTTAGATTTATCATTCAAATTAAGTCACTGGAGAATGAAACAATCTATCTAAACAACATACCATACAAAACAAAGTGTCAATCGTATTCGGGAAAAAAAGCTCCGTAAGCGTTTAGGTATCTGTCATCGTTCATTGTTATCCACAATCACTTGCGCGTTACACATGACTCCACAAGATAACATATTTTAATTGGTTGTTCCATGTAATACTAGATATAAAGGGTCGTGCGATATATGTAATTCTTCCGTCCAAATTTATGCGATAAGATGAAATTTAGAAAGTTAATTAAATTTTTATTTTAAAATTAAATTATTTTTAATTATAAAAATATAATATTTTTAATGAGACGGAATAAAAATAAAAGTGCGTCAATCACTGAAAAAAGTATAAACCCCTATTTTATAGTTACATATTGAGGTACAATATCCACAAAATATGTCCTCATAAATCCTAATTCCTATTTATTGCCCTTTATCATTGTTTAGTAACGGCTAGCGACGATTTCAAAATCTTGCTTAACAATTGATCCTATACATAAACATCATAATAAAGTATTTATGTCAAATTGCCTTAATAAGTTCTCATTCGCGCTATAATCATTCAAATAAAATGTCTATTCAAGCCATGAAATCATTATAAAGAAATTCTTAATCTAAAAATATAAAACTATGTCCTAGATAGATCATACTACTAATGGTTATATTCAAGTCAATCACTACTCAATCTTTGTAAATTTTATGTGATTTAAATTAATATGTTTCCTTAAGAACCAGTGTCATAACAATGAAAAATACAGTTAGAATGCATCTCATGTTCACTCCTACGCATATCAAAATATTTTTCCAACCCCAACTCTACATTGTTTTTCTATTTTAGATCCTTAGTTTTTATATAAGGTTGTATCCGGTGACGGAGCCAAGAATTTCACAAAGAGGGTCCAAAAATTAAACAACAAAAGCTCTTTTAAAATGGGGAAAAAATTGTTCCAAGTGAGATTTGAGCACGCGAGCACTGGATCATTAAAGATGTCTAAACGCGCATTCAAGACATCTTAAACCACTAGATTATAAGAACCTATTAAGTCAAGGATGTCCAAAATATGTTATTTAACCACTTCGTGTCATTTTACTTGTATATGCGATATATTTTTTCAGACGAAGGGTGTCCAATTGGACACACTGGCATACATGTGCCTACGCCACTGGTTGTATCTGTAAGCCTGTTTGATCAAAATCTAAAATCAGCTTATTTTAAAAGAGTATTTTTGGGGAGAAGTAATTTATGTTTGATCAATAAATTTAAAATACAATTTTGAACAACAATTAGTGTTTGGCCAAGCTTTTTAAAAGTGTTTTGAAGTACTTTATATTTTTTCAAGAGTATTTTTCAAAGAAGTGTTTTTCGAAAAAAGTTACTTTCTTTTGCTTCTGAAAAAACAGTTTTTTCTAATCCTCCAATACACTCATTTTCTATCAAAAGTTTAATCAAACATCTCACTTTTTTTAAAATAAGCATTTTGGCCTCTCAAAAGCTTGGTTATAATACTAACCATATCAACCAACAAAAGATTACTGCTTACCCAAAGAATAACTATTTGGGGGCTTCTTTCAATTTTGTTCCTTTGACCAAACTTATTTACCAGAGCTAGTCCAAATATACAAAACATATACATTGATTATGTATATGTATGTGTAGTATATGTGTATTTATACAATATACTAAACCTATACATTTTCCGGCTATTTTATAAACTAGATCACCCAAAGGTATTGAGTCGTAATTATCCCCTCTTTTTTCCATTTTGGGGCATGAAAATACTTAGAAGAAGCCAAAGCAGGCTGTGAATCCTAATCTGGTCATATTGAATGTAAAACAAGACCACCACAAGTATGGCATATGAAAGTATATCTCTCATGTCTTCAGATGGAATGCCAGGCACTGAAGACATATCTATTGAAGAACCAAATAAGTATTTTTGCACTTTGTAATAAAATTGTCTCTTCATCAATCCAGAACAGCGCTCATGTTAATACTCCTTCCTATTTCATCACTCAAACTAGATAAAACAACCTTTATTTCCGTCATCAAAACTTGAGGTGATCCTCTTACAGAAAATTCGCAAACAACTCCATTAACTTCAATCGTGCTGCAGCCAGGAACGGTCTTTTCGATCTGTTTCTCCTTCATTAGAGCTCTAATTTCCTTGACATGATCAAACCTTCTAGCTTTGGCATATATATCGCAAAGATTAACATAAAAGGCATGGTTCAGAGGCTCTAAAGCAATTAAATACCTGGCAACTTTTTCTCCTAACTGAAAATTCCGGTGCATTTGACAGCCACCAAGTAGTGCACCCCAAACGAAAACATCTGGCTCCATTGGCATATTTCTGATTAGCCCTTCTGCTTCATCAAAGAGACCAGCTCGACCAAGAATGTCAACCATGCAAGCATAGTGTTGGACTTGTGGCTCTATGTGATAAGCATGCCTCATCACACGGAAACACCAACGGCCTATCTCTATAAGGCCAGAATGAGCACAAGATGACAGCAATGCAGTAAAAGTCACAGCATTAGGTCTCACTCTAGCTGTTTCCATGTCCAAGAAAAGCTCGAAAGCTTCTCTTCCATTACCATTAATTGCAAATGCAGAAAGCATAGCCGTCCATGCCAAAACATCCTTATTATTCATTGACCTAAAAACATCAAGGGCTTTAGAAACACTCCCACATTTGCCATACATATCGACTAATGCTGTTGCAATCACCATATCACACTCCATTCTGCTTGTATTCAAGTAATCGTGCACCCACCTCCCCTGATCAACCGCGCCAAGAGAAGCACAAGCTGAGAGGACACTAGCAATTGTCAGTTTATCTGGACTAACCATATCATCACCAGAAACTTGCATTTCATAGAAGAATTCTAAAGCGTCCTTTGGCCTACCTCCTTGTACGAACCCCGTGATGATTGAATTCCAAGTGACAATATTCCTCCTCTTCATTCTCCTAAACAACTCTAAGGCCATATCAAGCTCTGAATTTCTCAAACACCCAATTACTATAGAATTCCACGAAACAACATCTCGATTAGACATTTCATCGAACACCTTCCTTGCATTATCCACTGACCTACATTGTGAATACAGAGTAATCAAAGAATTCTGCACAAAAACATCACCGTGAAACCCAAACTTAACAACATGGGCATGAACACTTGATCCGACAAGTCCATCAACTCTGCTCACGCAATGTTTTAACACGAAGGGAAATGTAATACAGTCAGGTGTAATACCATCAAAGAGCATTTGTCTGTACAAAATTAAGGGCTGAGATGAACTGGGGTCATGGATTCTTGAAGCGTGAGCTCTGATCATGGAGTTGTAAATGAAGAGAGTTTTTTGTGGAACGAGCCTGAATACGGTGTCGGCATAGGTGAGAGACCCTGATTGAGAAACTGTGCAGAAGAAAATAATGCGAGAGATTAAGAACCAACGGTCAGTGATGAAGAACTGAGGGGATGTAGTGATGTGGGCATGAATCTGCTTGAGCTCTCTCATGCTTCTGCAATTCTCAAGCAGGCATACTAGAGTATTCTTCAAATGTAATCGTTGCAACTCCATCATTTTCGAAGCTCCAACAATAGAAAATCGGAAATAATGAAATTGGGAACCGTCAGCCATAACAATAACATACCCAGTGTAATCATTACCATCTGCAATAACGATTGCCAGGAAAAAGACGCGCATTCCAATCAAAAAGCCGAGATGTTTAGTTTAGTTTGTTTGTTTTTGTGGTGTCTTACACAAAGCGTAGGCAAAATGCACCTTCGCCTATTGTTATTAGAATGTTGATTCACTGGACCTGGTTAATGCAGTGGCAAGGTGAGGAAGATACCATGGCGTGGCATGAATTGACATTCAAAAATTCTTGGAAAAGATGGATTACACATTGCTAAAAGGAAAGAATCAAATGAACAGATAAACTTGCGAAGTTTGGTAGCTGATCGACAACACAATTTCACCTGAAAAGATGGGAACGTTGCTTTACAAGTTGCTTCCTGGATTTCGTAGAAACTTCCCGACATGGGATTTGAAAGGGTTACAACAGACAAATACGTATGCTTATTGAACAGTCAATTTCAGCAGCCAGGAAAGGGAATTGGAGTTGGTCCAAAAACAACAATTTCGAAAAGAATTCTTTGCTTAATCTTCACTTACTGGAACTTGAAATGAAAATCAATCAAGATGCAAAGAAAAGATGAGCATAACTTCCGAAAAAACTGGCTTCTGGGCGGCTCCCTACTCTCACATGGCCTGTGCATTTCATCCTCTCCTCTATAGGAAACCCTCAATCCCCTTTCCTGCCTGCACTTCCCTGTATATCGCAAGGGCTTCATCCATTACTTTAGTCTGAGCCAACAACTGCGCTCTCTTCTTCCCAGAAGGATGGGTAGACAAATAATCTCTCAAGGCTGATTCACCAGAAATTTTTCCCAGCTTCTCATAGACTGAGGGAGCTATTCGAGGGTTATAGCCAGCAGAAGCCATCAATAGCAGCCCTATGTAATCTGCTTCCATCTCCATCCTGGTACACAGAAATGCATGAGAACTTGATACGACTGGAAAAAACAGGCAAACATTCATCCTATCTAACACCATGAAATGACTAGTTGCTTGTATTACATATGCATGCTTACTAAGAAGACGTGTGCACCCCACACAGATAAAACGGTTGAGATATAACAGGGTACATCAACAGAATTTAACAAAAACCCACATAACAAGTAGGTGATGCCATAAAGGTTTGAAGCCAAGAGTTTAAGTTCCAAACTCTCTATGATCAGTGATTACTGATATCACCAACCTATACTGCTGGAACAAGCTCATTGAGCAATTAACTCAAGACTTTAACCTACAAAAGCAAGCCTAATATATAGACTCCGAGAAACAACAGCAGACTTACTGTTGCACTATCTCATTAACTATGAACTGCAGGATCACAGTAAAACTCTGAACACGGAGTGATCACTTACAAACTTTTTTCATCTGAAAGATATAAACAAGTTAAAAGAAGCAAAAAGTTACTAGATCCCTATTGAGCACATTAATAATGTGCACCAGACTTCCTCTCTTCATTTCATTTTTTATGTTGGACGGGTGATGGAAAGGTGGATGGAAAGGTGGGTTACACAACAGATATTGCCACTCGCATTCATTTTGAATGTTGAGGTTTCTAATCCCTTTGGAGATAGAAATCCTTTTCAAATTGTTTCTTTCGAGTTTCGCCACTCACAACATGATCTCGACAGAGTTCTAAAGCCCTTTACACCAGTGACTAAATGGAGTATGTCAAACACAAACAAATTCAAATTTGTAAGTCCTGGAGTCAACAACTAAACTGATGTCACAAATGAGGAGACTAGGATATGCTTTCAATGCATTTATAAAAACAGTCAGAAAGTAGCTTTAAGTTATAAGAAACATAAGCTGGTAACATATTATTGCTTCTGTTCACACAGACTATATCATCTATTGGCACCACTAAAGCTAAGAAGCACTTAAGTGCATGAGAGGATAAAACCTCAAAACATTGGGTGTCCAACTTGAGTTGGCCGGCAGAGATCCACAAATTAACTATGAGTAAATTCTAACAAGTCATACTTACCATGTTTTGCTCTCTCTTTCACACACACAAAAAAAACTCCTAGCAGGATAAAAAGAAGGGAAATATTCCTGAGAACCGCCTTAGATACACTCCAAAGATTAGCCCCTAAGCTTTAGAAAACTCAGGTTCCTATTTCCCAAAATTATACTTCTCGGACAAAAGGCTCATCAAATGACAAGACACCCTATAACCACACAGGAATTAATATTTTAGTTGCATACTGCTATCATAGATATTTCAGGCAAGATACACGCTGGGTATGACCGAGATGAGGTATTTCTTGTTTCAGTTTTGGATAGAGCTTCCTGATTTTCAGATACAAATAACATACTAAAATTGATATTTGCTGGACAAATTTGAGACCACAATGCAATTGTGAGAAGAAGTAACAGTGTGGGTCATTTCAAATAATAAACACCAGGACTCAAACTAAACCGATACTTCTTGGGAAAATTCTGAAGGGCAGCTAGCAGTTTGTGAAAGGGTTTCTAGTTGAAAACTCTCTTTAGATTTTGTGTTAACATGGAATGCCAAAAATTCGCTTCGAGAAGATGTGCTTGTAAGCTATCCTCGTGGTTAAGCACACTGCTTTATTGTTTTCCAACAATCATCTTTAGTTTGTAACTCCCATTAATAATGAGATGTCTTCGATAATATCTTATGGAATAATATCCAGTTAGATGGTAATTTGACTAATTCACAATCTATACAGTTAAAATCAGTAAGAATTGATGGAATATATCTTATAGCTTTAGTTTTTCATTGTTATTAATGATTATTACAACTCCTTAGACTTCAAACATATAAAGGAAAACTATCAAACAGCATACATAAACTACACATCTATAATAGCCCTTCTGTATTTTGATTCTCATATTTTCATACTGTACTCATATCTGTTACCCTACCTTATCAAATAAAAAAATGTACTCATATTTATGCCCGTGCTACATAGCTGATGCTCAACAAATATCCTTTCTTTTTTAAGTTTCGTCTTCTTTATGTTTTAGGAAAACTCACTAGTTAATGAAACTGACAAATTTATAGAGCTGAACAGATAAATGAGAGATCGATCAGGGTTGAATCAACACGCAAAGTAGGTAAAGGATAGAGAACGAGAAAATCCATCTAAAGAGGGGGAACCAACACCATCAGAAGATGAGTGCACATGCACTTCAGTTGCACCCCGCTGACCATTATCAAGTTAATGTGGATAAAATGGGAACTTGGTCTTTTCCAGACAGCTTGAAATGTCAAACTCATTAGAACCCTGGTACAAATCAGTCAAGGGAAGATCCTCTCCTTTGCCCATCACTGCAGAAAGCAAGTAGAGGAGCATCCTTGGAAGCGCTGAAAACCAATTTAGTTTTAGTAGTAGTAGAGTTTGGTCAGAGTGTTACTTGTAGCTGTTTCCAAATGAATCCACCTCAAGTCCTAAGGTTAAAAATTCAATGCTTCGTTATTTGTAAACTTAATATATATGATATATTTTGTACATATAAGAATTTATTCAGTTCTGTTTGGTATTTTTTTGGTTTATCTAATAAAATTAGGAAACCTATCATAATTATTCGGGACAGTTATAGATCTATATTGAAACCTATAATTTTATCATAAGTAGACCAAGAATCGGTTCAGTAAGGTTCAGTTCAGTTAGTACAATCCATTCTCAGAAAACCATTGACACACCTAATATTATCAACTTATTCTACTTTATAATTATACCTTCCGAACAAATACCTTATAAATGTTTACATGTAAAGCTAGAGTTAAGTTATCGAGTTCCCACACACCCTGTTCTGCTGGATCAAAGCAGCAGAAACAAATTGGCATAACTTATTTTTCTTTTTTCTTTGATTGTTCTACAAGCTCTATTCACTTTGTATACAGTAGAAGCAATGATACTAGGGGTAGAACATTGGATTCCCAACTACCAACAATTTCAATGTCCACCATTATGATGTACTATGACATATGCATCTGACATGGAGGGACAACCTCTTAGAAGGGCCCATGTGTGTGCAATGAAAACCATAGCACGAAACATAATGAAACTTAGATAGGGAGTACAAAAAAGTTAATGTAAAATTCTTCTTCTTAACATGAATGTTGGAGGATGCAAATGAAAAGAAACAAGGGACAATAAAGACATCCAACCAAGATTTTGATGTGACCACCTCTATAAAAAGAGGCTCAAGTTCTATGCCTACATGTTGCAATGATCCCCATCAACATTTAACAAATATTTCACATATGCTACTTACATAACACACAAAAATGAGCTTTCTGGGATGACATAATCTATGATGCACACTTGTTCGCTACGTATTGGCTGTATATGCGGACATGACATTCCTATGACTATAAAATTTTCCAACTTAATACAATTGAATAACAGAGAGAACTGGCAGGATAAGACACAACAATGTTGACTAAGTCCTAAAAGAGAGATTAAACATAAAACACATAAGCAAGAGAAACTTACAGAATCCAGAAAATAAAAGGTGATACACATACCTGCGTGAAAATGGAAGCCTTAGGAACAGGGCTGACATGGTGTTAACAACATCAGGCATCACAAATTGATAAAGAACCAATTGAATGATAGCAAACCACAAATTTTTTGTAATTCCCTCAGCAGCATGGCGAGCCACAGCATGCCCAACCTATCAAGCAAGCAAAGGCGTGAATACTAAAAACAAGGCAGAGATGTACCTGTACACAATGCACTAAACGAATAAAACGACAAAGCTGATATACACCTCATGCCCAATGATGGTTGCAATTTCAGCATCCGTCCTAAAATGTTCGAGCAACCCTGTGAAAACTACAATCTTCCCTCCAGGCAAACAGAAGGCATTTACAACAGGATCATTTACAACCAAAACCTCCCACTGCAATCCCTCGATATGCCCGGTAGCAGACTCTGACCCCTTCTCCTGTCCCTTCTTTCTACTTTTCTGAACCCAACTGTCATCTAGAATCTCATCGTCTTTACTCCACTTCGCCTCAGGGTTACTATCACTTAATGCCATCAAAGTCTCATGCCCACTAGTCTCATGAGGTTCCACGGCATCTGATG